GGTTTTTAGTTTTATACTGTAGAAAAAAACATTCAATACATTTTTGTAGAGCATTTCACTATGAATCTGTTGGGGGAAATATTGGTCTTGTAGCACCAGGAAAGTAGAAGATATGATCAAAGCAAAATTGCCCGATTGTACCAGAGTTATCCGATAGGTCTCAAATATTTTTTATTTCAGACATATGTAGTTCTATGATCAAAAATAAAGACGAGCAAAAACCACTATGAATTCTTTTGAACACAAATCCGCAAATATGCAAAACCATAGTATTTGATTCACAACTAAAACTTCTCTTAATATGTTGGAGTACAACCAGGGCGAAAAAAAGAAGTGCTGCTGAAGGATTATAATGTCATACGTGATTAATGCTTCAAGCCGCCTGAATGATATTACTAAAACTTTCATATTACTGTTCTATTCACAACACAAGGGTTGCTGTCCTAATAAGAGTTAACTACCAGTAGATAAACATGCTTCGTCGAAATAGATCATATACAAAGCAGCTTTCTATCTTATGTAAGAACCTAACGAAGAATTTTTTTAAGAATGAAAAATCATCCTTGTACAAATATATCGTCCCTCCATTATTTCCCCATATTTTTGCTTCGATAACTCTTCCTTCCCCCATCCTACTTATGGTCAAAAACATGTTGTTTGAACATGGTGTTGACACAGAACTCTTCTCATCTTCGAAAGTGATATTCACACTTTTACTTTTCCGTAGATTGACGTGGACCGGTATCCCCTACAAGTTGCCGAATCCTGCGAGTCTCCATCTTTCACAAGCCATTAAAAAACATCGACACTCGTTGCATTTTGAAAGTGGCAGTAACTGAGTCTCCACAATTTTTTCACAAATAAAAACATGAATTTCACAGAATTCCGACTGAATTACAGCAGAATGAAGGAGAATCAACCAATTCGTAGTGAGATTTTTTTATATTATACCGATTTCACTGCATTCGGGCTGGTTCTTGATGTTCTCCAGAGGGAATGAATCCTGTGGATCCTTGAACGTTTCTTGGAATTGTTGAACTTGACATTGGTCAAAGAGAAATGTTCCTTTCGTATAATTTTTCACTCATTTTTTTGGAAATATAGGAAGGAATTTCACAACATCAATTCTACATTTTATATTCTAGTTCTGGTTCAACAGCTTTTCCGAAGCCAATTTATCTGGATAATAAACGTCTGTTAAATCCATACTATATTTACAAAAACTTTAATGAAGATAATTACAAACCGAACGATACCCTTTTGTCAATGGCACCATTGTAAGTGCTACAGAGAACGCCACACTCCTCTTTTACATGTTCATATTATTTTCATTTACTTGTAGTTTTTATGAATATGGCTTTCGTATGACATTCATAATGTGGCAAAATAAGGGAATATATGCACTACCATTAACGCGCACGGTTCCACCATCACCGCACGACGTATTAGCAAGTATTAAAAGTGGAAAAATAAATATTTTTGGAAGTGCTCCGGCTGCACTGGAACAATTAATTGATACAATTAAAGTAGAAAATAATAATGACTATTCACCACTGAAACAACTTCGGTACATATCATTTGGAGGAGCCCCGTGTCCAGACGAATTATGTAAAAATATATTAGATAATGGTATTGAACTTAGATGCGAATATGGATCAACAGGTAAAAAAGATCAAAAAAAGATTCATAGTACTTTTAATCATTTGGAAATACGATTCATTCTTCAGAGAACACATTAATATTGACACTGCCCTCATTTTAATGATTTTTAGAAACTGGTCCGTGTATGTTTTATGATTTCGAATCACCATTAATTAACACACGTTTGAAACGGATGCGAATTCCAAATATACGAAAACCATATTTAACATTTATTCCAGAATCAGATGATTCAAATATTAAAGAATTAGTTTTATTACCTAATGATCCATTCAAAGCATCAAATATATCAAATCGTTCTGATGGTTCGTACACAACGAATGATTTATTTATTGAAGATCCACCAAACTCTGGTTATTATATAATAGAACTGTGTCAAATAGACGTGAGCGAGTGAACAAGAGTATTAGCATATGCCGAGAGAACAGAAAAAAGAGCGAAAATTTCATCTATATATAGAGTGAATTAGGCGACTAAAGTCGTAACGGTGATCACAATGTTTTCTTGGTATATGCCAATCGCCCTATTTACTCACTCATGTCTATTTGACATAGCCTTAATACAAGGTCGTATTGATGATACACTTATTCATACAAATGGTACAAAAACAAATGCAATACCGATTGAGCTCACAATAAGAGAACATTTAATTGTTAAACAAGTTGCTGTTATTGGTCATGATCGATTTTGTACATCAGCCATAATACAATTGAATATTGATGAAGCATCTAAATATCAATTGAATGAAATTGACAAACAAGTTTGGATGGCAATTGAAGCTGCAAATAGAAATTCACCAAAACACTCACGTATACTGAAAGAAATGTACACAATATTACCAATGAATAAATATCTACCGGTAACAGATAAAGGAAATATAATGAGAAAAAAAATATTGGTAGAATATGAAGATATTATTAATGATATGTACAATAAATTTCTCAACAATGTAGATGAACATCAACAACAATCCGGTACATAAATTGTTTCTTAAACACTCGTATCATGAGATGTGAGCTACTTTAAAAGCCACTGTTCCAACTAAGAGAATCGAGAGAAAAATCTGATGGAACAGTGATAGAGTGAGTAATCAGAAATGAATTTCATTGGAAAATATTTTTGCGGAAGAAATCGCTTTTTTGCCGATAAACCTGATAGTCTCAAAACCGAGGGCAAAAATGACTATGATATTCGAATCAGCAGCTAGTCGAATATCATAGTCGAATCACATGTAGTCATGTATATTTCGAAGAAAAAACGATGATGATACACTTGAGGGGTTTTCCTCGAAAGAGAATCGAGAGAAAAAGCTCATGGAAGAGTGTACAAAAACACTCATGTAAAGAACTAGGAAGTGGATACACGCATAGTTGTGTGAGATCGCAGTCTGGGAATATTTTAAACGCTAGACAGCTCATATGTAGGTAATTTAATCGTTAAAGCAGTACTACGACAAGTACTTTCCTATGAAGTAGAGGCTAATAATAACTAACCTAACTATCTATCCAGTTCTGGCTATAGCATGATCCTACCAAAGTATTTCAGTGTGCAAGAAGATTCCTTTTCCTCGGTAGCTCATCGATAGTAAGTGTATATCGGGAAAAAACAAATCGCATTGACTGGAAGTTTTCTAGAACATTGAAAAAAGAAAATCGGTGTGTTTTTGCTCAAATATTTGCGGAATGATTTAAACAAAATTCCCAGACAACCACATTTATTCAGAAAGATGAGATACAGTTTTGGAATGTATTCTATCTATTTTAAAGTAGGTAGAAAACATTTAGTGCGGTATTGTCAGTGAGCATGACATGCTAAGTTTTATGGACATTTTCTTGCATGTCTGCTGATCCCCGCTCACCCAGTGCCAAATCAGCAGACGTGCCGGACATAGCCGATTTGCTGATGACGGGGTACAATACAGAAAATGTTCATGCGTCACTGAAGAAGTTTAGTACAGCATGGTCATGTTTCATGAAAATTTCCCATCCGACACTGATTTCCAAATCAAATAGAGTCATCGAAAGGATTCAATGATGCCAAGATGAAGGCCGATTTCACAGTGATGGAGAAAAAGCAAAGTTAAAAGCTTTGACGAATTTTTGTAGTGAAAGTATTTGTAATTTACGTAAACTGATGTTGTTAGAATAAAAAGGTGAATGAGAAAAAGGGATCGGCACTGCTCCACACCACTAGGGCTGTGACAGTTACCATTAGCGTTACAGTTACCGAGTAACGGTAGTAAGAGTAACTGGTAACTGTCACAGCCCTACACACCACTGCCTAATTAATGTTGATAAAATTTCTTACTAAAACAGCAAGGATTGTTACAAAAGAAGTCTGAAATTAACCAGTGTAGAGTGTAAAATAAGTTAGGCTTTCTGACTAGATGTATATCTCCAAAAGGAAATGAAGGAGACCTTGGACCTCACGGACTTCTTGATGACGTTCACTTTGCTGTAAATATTCATTTTGAGAAACGAAGGAGTTAATCTGTTAGATAATAACTGCAGTTTTTACTTCCTATGGACTTTTCGATGGTCAAACAGATTCATCAACAAAGATTATTTATTTAAACAAAAATTTTTGAGTAAAGAATACTACAAAAGAGAAAAAAATTTCGACGTGAAAAAATCCAGTTTTTAACTCTCAATAGAAAATCTTAGAAAAATTCACATATTTTTGAGGAAATGTGAAGAAAGTCTGACGCGAGATTGTCGAGGACATTTTGCTCTACGTTCTAACATATCAAATTCAAAAATTAATAATTGGGTGAAAAAGAAGCCTGCCGGTGTAGGTGCGATCGTACTTGTCATAGAAGAGTGCAATGATTTGAGTCAGATGGGAGAAATATTTTACCTGAAATTTGGAGAGCTGATAAATAAGGTTTCTACGTTGAAATATACAAAGATTATTTTTTTAAGATACGGTAGTGGATAACAAATCTTCCCGATGATCTATGATAAATGATGAATTTCTCTTTTAGTTGATCAGCTTCTGTCATCACAAGATTGGACGGAAAATTCAATAAGAGAATATTTACAGACAACAATAGCTACAATTTTATATAAACCGGAAAAAGAGTTTAATGATCATACAAAATCTCTGTTTGAGATGTCGCTTGATTCCTTATTAGCAATACAATTTTACAATTGTATTTCTAAAAAATTTCATCTTTATCAATTACCAAAAAATTTTCTATACGAATATTCGTCAATTAATGATTTAACTAAACAATTACATGCTCGAACTATTAATCAACAACAACTACAACAAAGGAATGAGGATGATGATCCAAATCATTATAAACAAGTTGAACAAATTCTTCAAAAATATGTTGATTTAATTAAAAATGATCATAAACAAGAAAAAACAGCAATTTATCAACAAAAAAACAGTGATGTTATTCTTTTAACTGGCGCAAATGGTTCATTAGGCAGCTTTATTTTGGCAAATCTGCTGAATAATTCTCAAGTTTCGAAAGTCTACTGGAAAATTCATTAACGACGTTGATCTTAGAAAGTCTTTTCCACCTCAAACCAGCGACTTAACCAGGATTTTATAAGGAGTGGACCATATTTTTTTTTATTCTACTACTTAATCCGCTCCATTAGTTATTTAATTTATACGAAAATCTTCGCCGTGAAATCCTAATTTTTATTTTCGACTTGAATCAAAATATTTTTTTCAGCGTAGTTTGAAGAAATCGAAACTTCTAAGGGATGGACCATAGCCCACCCAGTGAAGGTACGTTGCTGTTTCAAAACTAGGCATGCGCTCGTCCTAAATAGATATCAGCTATTGTCTTATACGTGGTGATCAAGATCGTCTTTATAAAGCATTTGAAGAACGGAAATTGAAGATGACAAATAAGGATCGTTTAATTGTTCTACCAATGGATTTAACGGATGAAAAATTGGGGCAAACAATCGAAGTATATAATCAACTTTTAAATGATGTTACACATGTAATACATTCAGCGTGGNTTTCAAAACTAGGCATGCGCTCGTCCTAAATAGATATCAGCTATTGTCTTATACGTGGTGATCAAGATCGTCTTTATAAAGCATTTGAAGAACGGAAATTGAAGATGACAAATAAGGATCGTTTAATTGTTCTACCAATGGATTTAACGGATGAAAAATTGGGGCAAACAATCGAAGTATATAATCAACTTTTAAATGATGTTACACATGTAATACATTCAGCGTGGAAAATGAATTTTAATTTAAACGTTAAAGATTACGAAAATGATTGTATTAAAGGTGTTTATAATTTACTTCAATTTGGAAAAAAATCCTCATCACATTTTCATTTTATATCAAGTATTGCCTCAACTGATTCGGGCATTATCCCTGTTGTGAAAGAAGAACCGACACCAAAACAAGTGCAAATTGCTGTTGCCAATGGTTATGGTCAATCAAAATACATTTCAGAACATATTTGTTTGACCGCCAAAGATTTATGGGGTAATGCTAATGAACTGGGCATCGGTATTCTGTCTTTGCTCATCTGTAAACGTACACGTAAGGTACAGATTAGCTTAGCAGCAGGCATGGACGAGTCCGAGTCTTTACAAGTTCAAACCGAATCCGAAACCTTAAAAGTTCAAGTCGAGTCCATTTCGAGTCCGGTGATCTTGTAGATTCTTTTTTGATGAGGGTGATTTATATTTTAATTTGCTGAGCCCTGAATAGATATTTGATTTTTCGAAAATAAGGTTACGTTCCATGTCCGTCTCCCGAACAAAATTTTCAGTTTCTTGTGAAACAGTAGATGTTGTTATTTCGCTTTTCATTTTTCTCTGCTAATTTGTGTTAAAAGTTGAATAGATCGGACTCGAAATACAAAAACTCAAGTCCGAGTCCTTCAAAAAATCTTCCAGTCCGGACTCGGATTCGCCCAAACCTGCTTGAGCTGGCGTGTGTAGTTTCATTGGCAATTTCGATAATTTTTCAACACGAAAGTAGAGAAAAATTAAAGTAGTCGGATAGGATAGAATAGAAATACATGTCATTCGAATCAGTCTTTGATCCTGATTTCGAATATAACATTTTTTTTACATAGACGTTGAGTTTTGTTAGAGAAAATCGAGGATTACGAGCAGATATCTGACTCGGACCTAGTTAACGGTAGAGATGAATGCAATGAACAATTTTTACATTGACATAAACTTCCCAAAATGCTTCGTTGACGCGGACGACTGCTCAAGACATACTTTCTGCACTAGGTGCAAAATACCGGGGGAAATCGATTTTTTCAATTTTTAAAAGTTTCATCTCTCCGCCAAAACTTATCCAACCCGTGAGTTATTTATTGCACACGTATACCCTTTAAGATATCCTCTACAAACTGGTGAAGTTTGAGGGTATGTTTGTGTACCGGTACCTGCCACATCCCCCCCAACCTATGCTTCCTTCACTGTTAAGTGGAATCCTATGCAAGAGTTTGTATCCGAGTGGGACCCGACTTCGGTCAGTTGATAAGTGGAACAGAAGGAAAAGTTAATCTCTCAGTTGTTTCTTTTACTGAGCCAGGTTCATCGATCATCATTTTTACCAGCTTATATAAACAAAGGTGGAATGTTATCGTATCATCCATACATAATTTCGAAAGTTAAGTGCTGAGGAACAAACTCTAGGAATTTTGTACTCAATTTTAGATTTTTGAGGCGAAATCAACCCATTTTCACTTTGTATTCGTATAATTGTCCTGGCCCGTAAGAATCTCACTTTTCCAACTCTGATTTGTGTTAGACAATCAAAGGACTTTTTTTAACGTTTATTCATAGGTATCTCGGTTGATATCTACCGTTTGGGTCAGATATCCGGTGATACAACACATGGTATTTGGAATAAAAATGAACTAATACCGTTATTAATTTGTTGTGGCGGTGGCGAATTGGGTGTAATGCCATCAGATGATAGTAGAAAAACAGTTAATTGGATACCAATCGATTATGCTAGTGAATCAATTGTTGAAATAGCATTAAATTCTCGTTTAATAACAGATGATCATGATTATATTCATCACATAGTAAATCCAAATACAATTAGTTGGTTACAATTATTGACTTATCTACATGATGCGGGGTTAAAATTTAGAACTGTGTCAACAAACGAATGGTTAAAAGTTTTGGAAGATAATCCATTAAATTCACTGAATCGATTTTCTGCATTAACATTTTCATCGCAAACCTCGCCACAGTATGAGATCTATAAAACATTGGACAAAAGTAAAACGTTACAAAAGTGCCCATTAATTAACGTGCATTTAATCAAAGTATATTTAAATTATTGGCATGAAATTAAAGTTTTGAATAATGGTTATGACAAATAATCGCGAAAAGATTTTAATGAAAGTGAGCAGATGGCCTAAGAGACGAGACAAATGATTCAATAACATTTGATTTTTCCAACATTTGTATAACACTTTTTTCAATAGATATATAATAACCACGTTGATTTAGTTTACTTAATTAGATTTCTTTTGCATCTTGATAATCAAAATATTTTTCGCACAGTTTCAAAATATGATATTCATTTTACTCGTGGATAAAATTATTGTTATCGATGACATAATATCACGTAAATCATCTACTAATACGTAACGATTTCTTACTTTTTTCATCTAATGATGAAATTAATGATGCTATCGTTGTCCTTTAAATTATTTTAAGAATAATTTCAATTAAAACTATTAATTATATTGTGATTGTTTGTATGATATTCTGGGGAAGATGTCCTTCACGAAGTTCTAACAAGACTTTTGTGTGCTATTTTTGAAAACTGCCTAAATGGAATATTTCGTCTAGTGCACGATTGATCATTTAAGTAAATGGCAATGAGAAAGCCTCATCAATATTATTTCTTCTCGATCTCGAATTAATATACGTCAGCAAAGGACGTGTTCCATACTTTCTCTGCAGTTGCTTAATTTGAATCTTTTCAAAAATTTGTGCTTTATACTGCATAAGCTCTCTTCTTTTTGGTAAAGTTGGTACAAAGGTGCAAGTACACTTTCTTTTCTTTGTTGTGAAACTTCGTCACTTTCGATCGTCGAATTTCTGCAAATCAATCAATATACGTAAGTGCGCCATTTTTGTTTTTATTCCATTATTTCCATATTTGACACATTCGTCCAATATTATATCATCACTCGTCCTCCTTGTCAAATTCATCATGCCAGGTTTTTCACAGCTGATTATCAACACGTATCTGAATTCAGTTAAAAAAACTTATAAAAATCTCAAGGACTTATCCAGTGAGCAATACTTAGCATTGATTAACAAATTATGTTCTACTTTGGATAATCTTGATGATGAGTCATCGAATACAACGATTTCAACAGATGTCAGCAGTGACCATGAGGTTTCTTCTCATCCGTTATTCATGAGAATTCTTGATCAAAATGACCTATTGTTGAAAACATTATGTTCTCAACATTCTCAATCGGTTGTTATAAAATCTCATGATTCGTCGTCATCTTCCCAATTTCAAACAGTCTCAACAACAAATGCAAGTCCTTTGCCACCTTTCGAACATATTTCATCGCAACTTCAGACTACCATGCCGCTAAAACAATTACCATTGTTATCTAGTCGTGCTTCCACAAAAGCATCATCATTAAATCAACATAATCTATTAGTTTCTCCTTCATCAGACAGTCAAAATACTCAATCACAACCTGCATCCCAGTTGGATGCACAGTTGAATTCTACTCCTCCTTCAACACCTGTCTTCATAACAGGCAGCAGTATCATCCAAAATTTAGAACAAGGTGTATCAACATTTAATGGTACTAATTTTAATGTTAAAGTTCGAACAAAACCTGGTTATTCAATTTTGGACATGATACAATCTATTCAAATGAATAGTCGATAGTAATTTTCATCTTTCTGCTCATACAGTCTTTTGTATTGGTTCAATTGATTTAAAAAAAACCGGTCCTAATGAATGACAATTACTTTGTCAAATGCCATTGATGAATATTTAAAAACTTTTATTTAGCGTTATTGTCTCGCCAACTGTCACTTCGTTTTTTT